CGAGGCCATCCTGGGGGTGGATGCTGATGGCTGAAAGCCGTGACTCCTCCCTTTTCCTGAGTAGTTTATCACCAGGTCTTGCTGCCTCTGCCTCTCCTCTATGTCTCTGGGAGCTTCACACCATTTCCACTACCACCATGCCGGCGTGAGCCATCAACACTTTCTGCTAGGGATAGTTAACACCATGAGCTAACTGGTCCGTACACCTGCACTCTGGACCCCAGTCCTGCAGTTCCTCCTCCTCCCGCACAGCTGCCCCACTGAACCATGGGGCACACTGTGGCTTGGCCCGAGGTGGGGGAAGGAGTAAGGAAGCTGCTGCCTTCTGATAAAACCTGGGCTGTGGATCATTTTGAATAAGGCACCTATCCACTTCCTTTTATGGCCTTGGGCAGCTTCCTCCTCCATCTCGGGCCAAGTCTCAGCGTGGTCACAGCTGTCAGCCAGGGCTGGGAACGGATCGTGGTCCAAAGGGGAAGAGAGAGATGGGGGATCAAGTGGAGTCCGTCCAGGGTTTTCTGGCTCCCAGGCTTTGCGATTATGGGCCTCACTCTTTCTGGTGACAGAGCTCTTATCCCAACATCAAGAATTGATTCTAGTGGGGTCACTGCCAAGGGGAAGCCTTCCCTGACTCTTCAGGCTGGCATCCTGGGTTTAACTCGCTGTTTGGTCGCGGCCTGTTCACTGAATTGCATCCACGAATCCCCGGAGAGCAAGGTACTTTCTGCAGCCTGGGGCCCAGCCAAGAGTGCAACACGTAGCGGGTATTGCGGACAGCGAAGGGAAGTGCACACCGAGCTGGGAGATGCAAACACGGGGTCCCGCCGTGGAAAGAGAAGGAATTTTGAGCAGAAAGGCAAGGTCACGCCTTTGGTGGATGAGAGGAAGAGGAACGCCAAGTCTTACTGCCACGGCACGTCTCCCCCAAAGAGCGGGCTCCCAAGAAGGAAAGTTGAGACCTGCTGGGGGCACAGGCACGAGGCCACATCCTCCTTCTGCTGTTTTCTCATCAGCTTGACCATCTCATCCTGCCCAAACCCCGCGCCATCCGGGAACCCCTGCAGCTCCTCCCTCCCTCTAATTCACCGCCTCAGCACACAGCTCAAAATCCTACACCTTACTAGGTTCAAGTTCCTTAAGGAACTTCCAACGTCAGGGCCTCCTGCACTGCTGACTTCACAGCGCCAGGATCATGGCAGGCATGCAACGCATCTATCAGGATGAGTACTTAACTCAGTCTTCCACTTACCTTCCAGCTTCCCACCACCTCAGTGGGGTGGTATTGTAACTACTAAGGTATACTGCATAGCCCCAAATGAAACTCACATTTCATTAATATTTTTAATAAGTACTTATTCTGCTCAAGGCACCGATAAGTGCCTTATTAAGGATCTTTAAAATAAACAGTCCAGAGGAAGACACGAACACACACCTGTAGCAGAGGAACAGTAAAGGGTGCCTGGACAAGGAGAGAGATTATGTCTAGCTGAAATTGTTTTTAGTATGTGCTCCTCAAAACCACCCTACGAAGAAGGTACTAACATGCCCATTTCATAAATCCTGAAACCGTGGCACAGAGTATTAGGTAAATTGCTTGAGTTTACACAACCAGTGGGTGGACTCAAACACGTTTGTACTTGAACTCATGTTCTTAACCATTGTACTGTTACCTTTTGTCAGAGAATGGAGGGGTTCGAGGCAGTCTCTAGGCAGAGAGGCAGAACACAGAGGTCAATTACGGGGAAGGGCAAATAGCTGACTCAGGACAGGGCGGACTGGGGCATTAAAGTGGAGTGGAAAGCTGGGGTCAAATAACTGGAGGTCCTTGAGTGCTTTATAAAGAAACTTGAGCTTTAATCTGCAGGAGACAAAGAATCGTAAGGATTTCTAAAGTCAGAGAGTAAGAGATACATTGATGAATCGTGCTACAGTTTGGACAATTACACTGGCGGCCTGTGGATAGAAGGAACTGGAAAAGGCAGGACTTAGTGGGGAGACCAGAGAGCAACTGCAACCGTCTTGGTTGAAGGTGGCGAGGCAGGAATGAGAGACAACAGCGGTGATTGCACCACCGGCAACTGGATGCGGTGGGTAAATGTCAAGTAATTTGAAGCTTTGGTGCCTCGTTGGCCGGTTGGACCGCGGCACCAGTCACTAAAATTGGAAACAGGTGGAGCGCCCGAACTGGGAGTGGAAGGAGCTTGGTATGCAGGAAGGATTCCGCTCCTCTGCCAGCTCCTGTGGAGCCTGAGCGGGGCTCACCTCCCTTCCAGGACGGCAGGCAGAGCGCTGCTGCGGACACACGGCTGCCGCTTGGCCACCCACCCCATCAGCGGCCTGAGGCCTAGAACCCCTCAGTGAATTCAAAGTTCTGTTAAGGCTTCATTAAGTCAGCAATTATTGAATGTTTACTGTGTGCCTGGCACTGACGTAGATACAAAGAAAAATCCTTCATCATCTTCGGTTCCCTTTCTAAGTCCTGATGCATCATCCTCAGTCAATGGTATCTTACTTCGTATCTTTCTCGGGCATATAATCAAAACGTTTACTATGTGTTCCATTCCGTAAAACACTCTCAGGGGATTCAGAAAGAAAAGGCGGGGAAGCGTAACCATCAGTTCCTATCCTCTCAGAACTTGGAATTTTATTGGGAAGCAGTGAATACCAAATGAACTGCAGTCAGATTCTGAGAAGCCAGTAAGACAGGGGACAGGGAATTATATCCTAGAGTCAGGGAGGTCAGCCAGGAAATGCTGCCAAAATTCAGACATGCGTCGATAAGGGGAAGGCGAAGGTGTCTCGGGCAAGAAAGAATGGAAATGCTGGACGGCTGGACTGGACACTGAGTGCAGGACAGGGAGCCCGTCCACGGTACGAGCCCAGGTGGCAGAGGCAGGCGGCGGCATGTGCCTTCCCACAGGGCGTGCGCTACAGGCCAGTCTGCTGCTTTCACGGGCACCTTTGCCTGCTCAGGAAATCCATTCTTTTCTTTCTAGGAAGGAATCTTGCTATTTTAGAGAAATAGGCAGATCTCAGCATCCAACCCAAGGTTCAGGTTGAATAGCTTCTCTTCAGTTAAGGGGAGGACACAGGTATTGTGAGAGTAGTTAAGAAACAGACGTCTATTATACTGGTCCTTCCTTTCAGGCTGAGGAAGAGAAACGAATTTATTACTATAAATCTATGGTTAGCTCTGGGTGCTAACCTTTCCCTTTTGTGAAAATTGTTTGATTCTGTACACTTTTATCAGCTCAGTCAGAAGTAGTATTTTCTTTTACTATTCTATTAATTATTAGCTCTCAAGCACTGTATTATTATTATAAGGTTGAGAATAATTCAAAACTGACTCTGGTATACAGAACTACACCTGGAGGGCAAAGGCCGGGCAGATAACTTGTAATCCCACTGTCCTAAAGCTTACTCAAAATCCTAAAAGTCAAAGCCAGGAATTCCAAACCATTTATTTAGGGAACACTTACATTCTATTACACACAGATTACATATCTATCATGAGGTAAAGGTAGAAAAAGAAAACTCTTGTGGGAAAGAGTGGAAAGAAGGTGCACATTCCAAGGATGAGAAACTTTATTATACTTCCTCCCACGACATAACCTGTCCCCTCCACTTGGGCAGCCTGAGCTCCGAGTGGCACAATTCCAAACGTCATCAGCACCTGGTTCACGGGAGTCTCCTCCTCGATCACTTCAGACGAGGTGAGATGTTATTTGCAACCCGTAATTCCATCCCTTCCCAGCTTGAGCGGGTGGGGCAACAATCACAAGAGACTCTACTAAGTTTCCACAAATCATTGGTTTATTAGAAAGTTCCTTTCCCTAATTGTACAGCGTATATATCTCTATCATATGTGATAAAGTTAAATACAATCTTTTATGCTTATAAGGAAGGATAGGCTACTTTGTTTTTCTTTCTTTATGTTTTAAAATCACTATTCTGAGAGTTAACGCAAACTGCCCCCAGGAGGGTAGAGGCAGCCAGAGTATGGCTCAATCTACAAGCTAATGGGAAGCAGCACAAAAATGGTAATACTGTATTATTTAAATTATTTACATGGGCTGAGAGCAAAGAAAAATTAGTCCCTTCACTTCAAAGACATGATTTCATTTTTCCAGTGCTAGTTATCCAAACAGCGCTGCTTCTGAGTCACACAGGAGCACTGAAAAAGTGGGAGGGCCAGTCGAGACCCTTGTTTGCCCAGCACTTGCTTCTCATGAACTCAAAACCTTTTTCTTTTTGGGAATTTGAGAAACCGAACAGCAGGCTCTATTTTCCCTGTAGGTCACAACCCAACCATCCTAGTCACAGCAACGGGTCGGGAGTCGCCGAACAGGGAACTGCTAACTCCGCTGAGGACGAGACCTGCAAGTTAAACACCTGTGGGCCCTTGTGTTCATAGGTCTGGGCGCCTGGGTGAAAGGCAAGAGGAGGGAGAGGAATTGAGGTGCAACTTCCCCTGGTAGGTGTCATGATGTCACAGAAGAGAAAAAAAGGAATCTTCACTGCTTAAATTAAGCTGGGCTGAAGGCATGAAAACCATGAAGCAAAAGAATTTGCAGTATCTACAAACGTGCTCACCTCCCACCAAAAAAAAGGAAGAAAACTGTCTCAACTCTAGCATCCCCCAGTCCACTTCTACTTGTTTCTAGCCAACCCAAAAGGCACATTAAAAAAAAAATTGTCAGAGGAGGCTAAGTACTAGGAAGGCAAACGGACCGCCTGGAACAAGGCACCCAGGGAACCCCTCATCACTCTGAATCCGCTTTCAGATAAAGCTCTTGAATGTCCTCCTCCTCCGGGGGCCCCACCTGGTTCTCTGTCCGGAACAGCAGAGCACATGAGGGAGGCTGTCATAACCGAGTGTCCTCCCCACGCCCCCGCTGACTGATGCCCATTCGTTAAAAAACCCCAGTGCTGGGGGGCACCATTTAATGCAAGTTAGTGAACCTTTTGTCCCCGCAAAAATGTTAAACAATGTTCCTTTCTTGTTTTAACATTTTTATAGTTCGTAACTTCAAAAAAATACATGAGTTTGATAAAATATACATGCTTAGTCATTTTTGCATCTAGCAGAAAACAAATACTTTATTTCTTGTTTCCATTTTATAACCTTTAGTTTCTTAATCCAACTAGGGCAAACATATTTACACAAAGCCACCAGAACAAGGATCACTTAAAGAGCTGGATGTAAAAAATATTATTGCAGTATACTACAAATATGGAACCTTTTTTATGAGCTACAAAAAGCAGCATTTACGTTTATAGAGTTCAGTGCAATTTTTTTTACATTAAAAAAATCCTATAAATTAAGAAGGAAACATCAACATGACAGAAGAAACACACCCTCAGACACACGAGCTCCTCTCTGGGGAAGCACAGGGGCGAGGCTCCATCCGCACGCACGCACGGCCTGTCGCCGCGGCAGGGTCTCCTTTCCGGGGTGTGCCGGTGTCTCTCCGGGAGCGAGGGGCAGGAGGACAACAGTGCCAAACGTGTGGCTCTCTATGTGGGGAGTGGGTGGAGGAACAGCCCGAGTCGCATCTGATTCCAGGTCAGACTCCCTTTCCAACTCACCCGGATAACACAAAGTCACCAAGGGGCGGTCAAAGAGAACGGAAAGGCGGGATCAGAAGGACAACCCGCTGGCCAGAGAGGAGGAAAACGGTTTAAAACTTATAGAAGGGAAGAGCAGAGGTTAAAAAGGAGAGGGAGGAGGGGCGCATCTAAACCCGACGGTTTGGAGATGTTGCTGCAGAGGGGTGCGCAGTACTGACTGGGGCTCCCTAGCTCAGAAACACAGGAGGGACAGAGGGGAAAACAAATCCCTGATAGTGAACCCAAAGCAAACCTCAAATCTAAAACCAGCCCTGCAAGCCAAAACTCGACTCTTTGGCTACCAGACACTGCCCGTCCCAGCTTCTGCTTGCTGGCATGAATGGCTCGACAACCCCAAGGGAAGACTTACGGGCCACTCTCCCTGGTCCTACCTGGGCTCTCACCCCCCAACTCATGTGCCATGGCTGGGAGGGTGCTGCAGGTCTTGACCTGAGAAGATGGGGTGCAGTAGTGGGTGAAGGTGGAGAGCAGTAGCAGCTGCTGCAGCAGGCCGGGGGGCAAGGAGGGTGGGGTAGAGGGCGGCGTGTGGGACAGGGTGGAAGGTGAAGGGTCCGGGATGAATGGCTGAGGCAGGAATGATGTGGATGGGATGGCTAGCGAGAAAGGTGGCAGGGTGGCCAGGGATGATTGAGTGGGTGAGGTGGGACAAAGAAATGGGGGTCAAGTGCGGCTGGGGGATATGATGGACTTGCGCAAGTGGCTGGGGATGAGGGTGGGGATGAATGCCAATGGCGGCGGCAGCTGCTGCGGCATGATGTTGTAGGATAGCGTGCTGGACAGTTGTGATGGAGGTGGCGGAGGCTGTGGCCGGCTGCTGAATATGGATGGGCTGCAGGGCTGGAGTGGCTGGGGCCAGGGCAGCAGAAGCTGGAAAGGCCTTCACTTGCTTGGCCAGAAGCTGCTGCTGGATGTGCTGCTGCGCGGCCTGCTGGAGCTTGCTGTACTTCTCCATCTCCTCAGGGGTGAAGGTGATGGGCTGGCTCTCCAGCGGGGCCAGGGAGGCGTCCTCAGCCCCATCCGCTGACTCAATACTAGGCTCCCCACTGGGAGGCGCGTAACTGGGGAAGTGCTCAAGTTCTGGCACCATGGGCAGCAAGGTAGATTCCACAGGGCCTGGTTGACTGCCACTATCCAGGGACTCTAGGGTGTCCCCGTCACTGGGGTCAGGGAGGTAGTTATGGGACATGGCTGGGTCCCCAGAATAGCAATCAGAGTGCACTGGGGTGCCTAGTGGAGCCACAGGATGATCAGCAGTACCTTCTTCAGACTTTGGCTCTTCTGGAGGGGGTTCTGATAAGGGGCCAGCTGCTTCCTCTGGGGGGAACTGATGTCCAAAGGGGGCATCACTGTTCCCCGGAGGCCCTTCTTCTGTCTCTGACTGTTCTTGCTCTTCTCCCCTTTCTAAGCCAGACTCTTCACATTTCTTAGTGTTGGGCTTTCGAGTGGCCGGGAGCTTCCCTATCAGTGGAAGGACAGGCTTATTGCCAAGAGAGGGAGGGAGCTTGGGCCCAAAGTACCCTTGTGGGGGGTCCTTAAGCTTGAGACCAGCTTTATTAGGGGTGGCCAGCACCTCCTCATTCATACTGGGTTTCCTATCCACTTTCCTGGACTGGATCTTCTCCAGTAGCAGTTTGGCCGTAAGGGAGTTCTTATCTTCAGGGCTGCAGTCACCCTCTGACCCCCTTCCTGCACCGACACTGCTGTTTTGAGACGGCGGGCCCGTTCCTTTACCGTCACCTCCTCTGCCATCTTCCTTCTTCTCAGGACCCTCCCCCCGGCCTGACCGAAAGTAATGAGGAGACTGGGAGCGGTAGATTTTGGAGCGAATGAAGTCTCGACGACCAGAACGCCTCTCCTCGGGGCTCTCGTGACCCCACGATCCCTTCCTGGAGCCTGACCTCTGGGAAGGGCTTCTGGTGCTGCGGCTGCGGTCGCGGCTGTAGCTCCGGCTCCGCTGCCAGCTGTGGGCCGTGGTGCTGCGGCTCCTCCGTTTGCTCCGGCTGCGGCTGCAACTGCTGCTGCGGCTGCGGCCTCGGGACCGGGAGCGCTCTCTGGTGTGGCTCCGGGACCGGCTCCGGGACTGGCTGCAGCTGAGGCTGTAGTCGTCATCGGAAGAGGAGTATTTGTGCCGTTTGGACCGGTGCTTGGAGTTGGTGTAGTCTGAGTCGTCAGAGTCATGGGAGCGCTTCGAGTGCCTTCGCGAGCGGTCACTGTAGTCACTGTAGCTGTCGTCGGAGTAACTGTGCTGTCTGCTGTAGCAGCTCTGGTCTGAGGACGCGTCTGAGCTGCTCGAGTAGGAGCGCCGAGAGGACCGGCGTGAGGAATGATGCCGGTCGGATCGTGAGCGGCTATGGGAGTGCTCGCTGCCCGAGTCTTCCTCCTCCTCTTCCTCCTCACTGTACTGGGACGGAGACTTCTGGTGCGGCCGGCGTGACGAAACACCGTCACTGTCCTCATCTCCGCTGCTGGGTCGGCTCCGGTGACTGGACCGGCTGGCCCGTTTGGTGCCAGCTCTCCGCTGGCAGGACGACGCCGGGGGTTCGCCCTTGTGTTTCCTCCCACCGTGATCCTGGGCGCTCCCGCCGCCGCTGCCGCCGCCGCCGCCGCCGCCCTCGTCTTTCTTGCCACTGCTCCCCTCCTCGCCCGGGAGGGACCTCCGCTGGGAATCGTCGGGGGCTCGCCGCCGCCTCCTCGGCGGCGCGGGGCTCCCGCTCCCAGGGGGCTCCGGTTTGGGTCCCCGTTCGGAATCTGCCTGGGCTGACTTATTCTTCTTCCGTTTCCGTTTCTTGCGCTTCTTAGACTTCTCCCCAGACTCAGCCTTAGAGCTTTTCTCTTCCGGATCGGCCTTGTGTTTCCGTTTGTGTTTGTTGGATTTTTTGTGCTTCTTTTTCTTTTTGTGTCGGTGGGACTTGCCAGAGCGCTCCTTCTTGCTAGGAAGGCTCCTCCCGGTGTCTTCTGTTTCCGAGCCGTGGCTGCCACCCGGCTCCGCTTTATTCTGGCTGACACAGCCAGACCCTGAAGCAGGCGCATCCACTCTGTCTCCTGAGGAATGTTCTATGTTTTCTCCTCCTTCCTTGCTTTTATTTGGCTCACCAGGGTCAAGGCCTTGGGGATGGTCCTTGGAGGAACCTCCTGGGTCTTTTGGTTTTTCTGTCCCTTTAGCTCTGGCATCTTTGTTCCTTGAAAGTTTAAAGTCAAAGTATAAAGGGTTACAACTGTACGAAATGGAGGGTTCTGCCTTGGTGAAAATTAATAGTTCCGATGGCCACTGGAGGGCGGTGCTTTCATCTTTGCTCAGAACTGGAAAGAAGGGACCAGTAGGATGTTTGGGTCCCTCATGGCTTTCTTTCCCTGCTGAGGCGGCCTGGGAGGTTTCTTTACAAGGGTTGGACTCACACATCTGGGTCTCTGAAGCCTTCTGACTCTGACTCTCTGAACTCTGCTCACTTACATCCCCCCCTGAGGCCTTCTTTGTTTCAGCTTTGCTTCCAGGTTCTGAGGGCTCGGCCACACCAGTTTCTGTCTGCTGCGGGGAGACTTCACTAACTGGCTTTTCTGCTCCTTGGCTCGCGGCCACCTTGATGAAGCCTTTAGGCTTGGGAGAATTGCTTTTTTTGCTCTCCAAGGCATTCTTTGGGTGAGTACTGTTATCACCTTCCATTTGTTCACTGGCTCTCATAAAGAGGAGGAAGGGAAAATTGGGTTTCACTTTGCAGTGTGCTGGGGGGATGTAGTGATAATACTCTGGCTCTGTGGCCCCAGCCCCTTCCTCTCGCTTCATTCTTTTTAGCTTAGATAAAGTGGAAGCAAGGGACCCTCCATCCTGAGGGTCTTCGTCCTCTTTTTTACCATCGAGATTGCCACCACCATCCGAGTCTCCCACCTTCTGTAGGACCTGGTCAGAACCCTTCTCGTCAGCTTTTGTTCCATCTTCAGAGGGCCCTTCCTCCGCGAGGTCCTTGAAAACGGATGCTATTGATTCGAGTTTGACAGGAGCCTTCTTGGCAAAAGAAAATGACACTCCCAATTTTTGCAACGGAGTACCCAGATTATTCTTAATGCCAAAGCTGACGCCCTGGGAGACTAACCCAGGAGCCTGTGCCGGTCCAGTGGTATTAGCGACCTGCACCGCAGTGAAAGGGCCTCCTTTATCCGCGGGGAATTCAGATCCCGGGCCACAAGCGGCAGCGGCACTGACGCCGCTGTTCATTACTGATTCATCTTTATCATCGTCTCCACCTTCTTCATCTACAGCCACCGTGGTTGGCCTGAACATAGGACCACTTCCAGGCGCGCTACACAATGGTTTAGAGAAACAAAAAACAAAAAAACAGGTTTAGGAGTACATTTCATTACTTCTCATCAAATACTTACCTCCTGTTCTACTGCCCTTCACAGGCAGGTCTGAAGGCCCCCAATTGGCAGCCACCCCCCAGCCCTGTACCGATGAAGGGGACGCCCTCAGTGCAGTCCGGCAACGGCTCACGCCACTGATCTGTCGGGCTACATTTTCAAAACTAGACATTCACAGCTATTTTTTCCTAAGGTGTCTAAATTAAAATACTTAATCATTACCATATGGTACAGTCTACCCATCCTGTATCCATGTTCATTTCTTCTTGTATCATCTTAACCATCAGCATGCTATCAAATGTATGGCTGAAAGTCTATTCACAAAGATTCTGTTCAGCTAAAAACCAAAACAAACAAAAAACGCCCCCAAACCCCTCTAATTTCTTCTGCTTTCAAATTTCATATATTTTAAAAAATACCATTTCTGAAATTGTTATTCTATCACAGTTTCCCCTCAAATTTCTTTTTTAAAAATGTACATATTCTCTGAGCTTAACACAGTCAGAAATCTGCACCGTGCTACTCTCCGACAGTCTGTGATCAGTACGCCTGGGAAACCGAGTCTGTGCCTGTCTCCTAGGCACCCCACCCAAGCACGTGTTTTGGTTTTGTGATTCTTTCCAGGCATCCCATCCAGTGGTCATGATACCACTGAGGACTGTCTCAGCTCTGACCACAGAACACTGAGGAGCCCCAAAGCCAGTGTTTTAAACCCTGGTTCCACCTGAGATCAGTACGGCGTGTGAACTATGAAGGTATCTACCTATCAAGGCAAACTGAGGAACGAAGGGGATTAGATATCTTTTGGGTCGAGGTCCTCATACCTGAACTCCAGCTACTAGCCAACTCAGGGTCAAGTGTATTTGGATGCTGTGGCATCCCTTGCTCTCCGAACTGCTATTGGAAGACGGGAACCTAACCGAGTTGGACAGTGAGATACTTACACTGTGCCATGAAACCTACCCCACAGCAAAGAAACCGTCACACTGAATAAAAAGGGGACTTATTTGATCTTTTGCTCAGTCTCTGCCATGCTACTTCATGTTACTGGGGGGTCACGCACTATTCTCAGGACAGTGAAACGACTGATGAGGGTTCACAACCTTTTATTCTCCCCAGGGATTATGTGGTCGTCTTCTGTTTGTTTATGGAACAGAACTAAACGTCATCTCTGAAGAAAAACATGTATTAAAATATGTCCTGAACTAGATGGTGGCCTTTTATATACTTTTTAAGGAGGTACCCTTGCAACATGCCCAAGAGGAATGCGCTTACTACATAAAGAGACGCCAAAGAAGGAATCTACAGACGGTTTAACCCAACACGAGAGCTGATAGTTTAACTCTGTTTCAAAAGTTACGTTCTACGTGTTCTCTCCCTTCCTTCTGCCTCCAAAAACACAAGAGAAGTTAATAGGCAAAAAAGGATCAAGAGGCAAAAATAAACCTAGTAAGTCCAGGAACCTGGAAACTCTGACCCCAACTGGGCTGTAAACTTTTAATAAACACAATCAGTTTCTCTTTTGATTGTAACGGGTTCCTTCCTTTGGTCCTGGCCAGCCATTAAAAACAAACCTCCTTATTTTTTTTTAATCCTCGCCTGAGGATACGTATATTGGTTTTAGAGAACAGGAAGACAGAAAGAAACATTGATGTGAGAGAGAAATATCGACTGGTTGCCTCTTGTACACACCCTAACTGGGGATCGAACCTGCAGCCTTTTGGTGTACAGGATGAAGCTCCAACCAACTGAACCACCCAGCCAGGGTGGGCCTAGTTCTTCTGACTGGAGTGTATACTTCATGAATCCTCAGATGCCCAAAGACTGGGTCTCTAAAGTCTAGCTGCTTAGAAATAAAGCCCTAGGTGGAATAAATTCCACCTTAGGGAAAATATCAGCCCCAAATTGTTAACTGAGAACCACAAAGGAACATTAAAAAGAACGTTCAAGAAGGCAGGAACCTTAGAGAATTCCCTAGGTTTCAGGGTGGTTAGTACTAACTGTATAGTCCTTAAAAGGCAACTGGAATACTTGAATCTGCGTCCCAGTACTTTTTAGCTATAAAACTGTAATATATAGGCTTTTCTACAAAGAATATTGGAGATAGGAGCAATTAACAGCTCCATAATTTATTGAACATCTTCTATGTACTAAGCATCTAATAATCACTTTTTTATGTAATAACTTAATCACTATTCACAACAACTATAAGGAGTAGACTTTTATTACCATCTCCATCTTATAGATAAGACAACATAGAGATTAGATAATTTAAGGTCATACAGACTGTAGGATGTGCCCTCAGAAAAACATTCTTTTTTTTATTTTTAGAGAGAGAAAATGAGAGAAAGAGAAGGAGAGAAACATCAACGTGTGTTCACCTCTCGCTTGCCCTCTACTGGGGACCTGGCCCACAACCCAGGCATGTCCCTAACTGGGAATAGAACCGGTGACATTTTGGTTCGCTGGCCAACACTCTCAATTCACTGAGCCACACCAGCCAGGGCCAAAGGAGCATATTAATCAGTGTATTATACTCCAAGTGTAGATATGCTTTTAGGTTGAAAGAAGGATCTATTAAAAATTTAAAGATCATTATTCTTAAACTATAATCTTAAAACTTAAGGGTTACAATTATCTGTAGACCCTCTGAGAAGAAATATCCTCACCATTCAGCTTGTTTTCTTTGCTCTGCCAACTCATGGAGGCGCCGGAGAGCTTTTTCCTGCTTCTTCTCATCCTTGCGGGATCTTGAAGAAACATTTCGAGCAAACTCTCTCTGCTTGAGATCTTTCAATCTCTGGGGTAAGAGAAGAAGTGAACAGAGGGGTGGGTGATTTAGAATACCTTGGGGATTCTGAAAGCAAGGCTTTTAAAATTTACCCTCAATCAGTGGTTATTATAACAGTGCTAGCATAGACTACATTGTTATGCTCTCTTCTGGTAACTGAAAACACAATGGCTGATTACTCTGGGTACACATTTGGAGTGCCTGCCTTTCTAATGAGGATAGCATACCATATGCTTTATTGGTCAAACTTAAATGATGTCAGAAGCAACAAGCAAATTTTAAAACACTAGGAGGAGAGAAAAGGGACTATTTAATCACCTGCTCTTCTAGGATGCAAAACTAGACAAACAGAACATGAGATAAATTGTAATAACACAAGCCAAAGAACAGAAAGGGGTTAAGCTAGTACAGAAAATTACCCAGGCATTAAGATCTTAAAAAGCAATGTACAGCTTACATGGGGAAGTTATTTGAATCAGAACCAATAGAAAGCATACTGTTATTTCACCATAAAAAGGTGCTATTATTTCTTTTCAGCATAAACAGTTCCCCTGCAACTATCCAACAAACCGCCTTCCAATGCTAGCATGTTCAGAGCTCACCAGTCTGACCACAGTTCACCTGGTCAGTCTGCTGAAACGAGACAGCAGTACGTATAGCTTTTCACTGCTTCCTGATCCTGAGAGGAACATCCAGGGGATGAGGAGGAGAACAGAGATAAGTCAAAGAATTTATTACTTAAAACCCTAATAAAAGGATGGGTCTTTTATTGTCAGAAGTTATTATATAAATTTCCTTAAAACAAAACAACAACAGTACTATGACACACTACTGACAGGGTCCAGACATATCTAGCTGCAGTGAAGACAGAAGTAAAATTATTTCAACATACTACAATAATATAAAAAACAAATAAAACAAACCCAAAACACACACATTATCCTATGTTCTTACAACAGCACTGGGAAAAAGAATTTGACCCAATATAAAGTGGACATTGCTTTGTGGAAGGGTATGATGTTCAACAGACAGAGGAATTTTCTTATCTAGTATTTATGAAATGTGTTTGGAGTATTTCTGAATTGGGGGGGGGGATGGAAAGACACACACAAAAAAGATATACAGCTAAAGACACTAGTAGAAAAACTCACTCTTGTGATCTGGGCTCCCAAATTAGAAGGATTTGCTTTCAATACATCAGCTGAAAATGTCACATCACAAAGAAAAAAAAGTAAAAATAAAACAAGAGTGGAAGAGAAAAAAAATAAAGCAAGCATTACTACACAAGCTCTCTTAGTGAATCTGTAAACTATTATACTGAACAATCAGGGACAAAGCCATCAACTCTAAAAGTGTTGGGGGAAGAAGCACCTGTACAACATACATATGTACACACACACACACACACACACACACACAAACACAGTGATAATCCCTGTGTTAAGTGGATAAGTGGAAGCACTACGTTTTTTTTTTTTTTTTTCCAGGAAAAATGGTTATAGAACTTTAGGGAAGATCACTGCTGTCTAAAAGCCATTAGTCTTATTTTCATTTACCTTTATTTTGGGGATGTTCGAGTAACCAACAGCTGGCAAAATTGTTTTACTGAGGCTTGCTGCCCAGGATTATAATTTTTAAAAAAAGATTTTACTTATTTTTATTTTAAAATATTTTACTTATTCACCTTTAGAGAGAGAGAGGAAGGGAGGGAGAAAGAGTGGGAGAGAAACCAACCGGGGACCTGGCCCGCAACCCAGGCATGTGCCCTCACTGGGAATCGGACTGGCGACCTTTTGGTTCACAGGCCAGCACTCAATCCACTGAGCCACACCAGCCAGGGGGGGAAAAAAAGATTTCATTTATTTTTAGAGAGAGGGAAATGGAGGGGGAAAGAGAGGGACAGAAATATTAATCAGTTGTCTCACCAGGAAGGGCTAGAATTATAATTTTTATAAAAACTACTTTAAGATGGAAGATCAATTATTTTAAATAAATATGGATTCTAATTTCCTCCTTCTGAAGAAAATAAAAGAGATAAAGGGCCTGTCAGGACTATTAGATGATTACGGTAGGCCACAAATCTAGTCTTATTTTTTATTTTTAGTTCTGCCCCAAACACTTAGCAGGCTCTCTAGCCAAGATTCAAATGGAGTGTATGCTTTTCTCACATCTGCTGCCTTCTCTCAGCCACCCAATAAGCCTGGAAAAATCTCCCTGTGTCCAGTCATTCCCTTCCCTCTTACAAATATTTTGTCACTTTTAGGAGTTATTTCCCAAACTACAGGACACTGTTTAAAGAATGAACACTATCGAAGTCTGGCGTTTCCAGAAAAAGTCAGACATTAAGCTTCCCAATCACTCAACAAGCCACTTGGTGCGACCTTGGAGTCGAAGGGATAAGACTATGCCCACGTCATCCTGAAGATCATCTATGTCCAACTCCTACCACCACGTAGCAGGAGGTGGGGAGTGAACAAAATGAGATGCTGTCAATAAAACAAATGCAAATTGTAGCCCCTTCTATGCAAAGTTATCCTGGTTCTATACAGGGTGCAGCAAATACCCACAACACCTTTACTAACTTTATTTGAGATCTCTTTCAGATAAAGGCATTTTGATGATAAAAATGAATTTCTAACTCAAAGCCTCTCCTTTCTACTCAAGGTCAAACTAAATTATCCTTGCAATGTCTCTACTGATCTCTCATAAGATAGGATTTTCTTCTTTCTGAACTGTCGAACTAGCACTTCGAGACAACTCATCTAGCAAACATCATATTTTGCTGACTATACTTTATTATAAAGTTTCAGGTCAGAAAACTTGGATTCAAGTCCATTAATTACTAGCCAAATGGTTTCGCCTCTTTGAGCCCCAGTTCCCTCATCAGAAAAAGAGGGCTATCTAGCCACAGAGTTATGAGAAAATAAATGTAAAGCACTCAGAATGGTGAAGCTGTTCCACACTGCCTCTTCCCCCACATCTTTACTTGAGGGAAGGACTAGGTTTACCGTTATAAGAAACTCTTCAGTGCATGGAGCAATACTAAGACTCTAATACGTGTGAATGGTTGATGAATAATTTGGCTTAAACATTGGATCCTTAACTTTCCCCCATATGAATTTTTATCATTTATAGAAAAATTTGATTAGGAAATATTTTCATATCTCTACTAGGGACATATTCAAGTTATATAATAATATGGTTTTCCTAGCTATTACTACTCTCAAATAGTAAGGAGTTTCATTCTTTAGATAAATCAAAAAGTCTAAAAGGCCCCTTACTTCTAGACAGAATTGGGCCAAATGCCAAAAAAAGATCCTGATCAGGAACTTCTCAATTTCCTATCTAAAAAGTAATTTTTATAAAAACGTACCAGACCCTAATTCACAGTCAGGTTTTCTGAAGTTCCCTGTTTTATTCCGAAAGGCTACCAAACCTGCCTCCTTTGTCACTGAGTATCAGTATGAAATTCTCTCTGATTTGTACCTTTTCTTTCCTTTTAAGTTCTAAAGAGAACACAACTTTAGACAACTTCTTCTAGGTGAGACTCAAGAAGCAACACACTTGTCTACTAGAGACAGAACTCATGCAAGAAGAACAAAATTATACATGTACCGACAATCCAAAACTCTTTTCAAAGGCTGAGCAAATTCCATGTCATGCACAAAAATCCCAGTTAGACTCCAAACTGGGACACGGTCTTATCTGAACGGTGTAATTGATCACTTAAGCTTATTCCAAAGCCAATAATACATGCCCTTATCTCTGAAAATTATAAAGTATGCTAATAAATTCGCTTACTTATTGAACTATTACTAAAAAGTTAAGCCAAATAACACATTTTTAGCTGGAAAATATTTGATTTACTAAAAAGCACACTAAACCCCATTCAAATGAAGAGGTTTCAAGATCCTGTTTTCCCAAGAAACCAATAATATGCTTCCAAAAAGATACACATTTGTGGTATAGAATACAAAGTAAGTAACATTTCTCAGTGATTCTGAATCACATGGTAGCTGGGGTTTCCATTAAATCTCTCAAAAGACCAGCAGAGGGAAGGCCTTAACAAACAAGCCACCGTCCCCATCCACATAAACTATGGCTATTTGGGCTGAAGATCACTTCAAATGTAAATGACATCCCTGTTCTTACACCACAGCTAAATAGCACTGCACTGGCAGAATAAAACATCTACTCCAGAAACAAACTCCTGCTCCACTATGCAACTGTAAACAAATTAAACCAGGAAAATGAATCTGGTACGTCTTCCCCAGGTTTTTAATGTGAATGATAAATTTGCCCAGATCATCAATAATGTGAAGTTGGCATCAATAACGCCAACAGTAAAGAATGGCACTGGTTAAGCTGAAAACGAATGACAGACACCTCTATATAGCTTTCCCTGACAAAATCCTAAGGGTCTGAGTCTAATAAAATATTTTGTTATCTTTTGGTGCTATTCTATTCTTACTGCCTCCATCAAAAGAAAATTTGATGCTACAAGTTTGTTTGTTGAGTATACTTTACTAGGAATAAACCTTTCTCAAATATTTTATATCTGTTATCTCAATTTAAGAAACAAAAACTATTATTTCCATGTGAAAAAACAGGTAGAACATAGGCAGAGTATTTCCTATTGCCATTAAAAATCTTATGTTCTAATATTTACTCAACTCTAAAGATAAAACCTAATTTTGTCTCTTTAGGGTCGAAAGATTATCCATGGGCTCTTTTCTCTTACTAGATGATGACCCCACTCTCCCAGAACAGGGCCCTCCTTTTAACTAGCCTTGCGACACACACACCACTGTCTACAGCACAAGAGATGCTCAATAACCACTTATCAAATGTTTCGGGGGCAAGAAGAGGAGGGTCATCTCCTCTTGGAACACGTACAATGGACAAAGATAAGGTGAGGGGAAGGACGGAATGTGGGAGGTGGGGTGGGTAGAGCAGGGGAGAGAATGGGGGGAAAATAGGGACAACTGTAACTGAACAACAATCAAAAA